TTTAGGATTTAGGGTTTTAGGGCTTCAGGGTTTAGGTTTGTCAGTGTCAGGCGCCATGCAGGGGTTATCGAAGGGGCGTTTGCCTTAAACCCTAAACGCCTAAACCCTTCAACGCGCTTCAAAGGGTCTTCTATAGGATTCTGCAGAGAGTTGCTCCGGGCTTTAGGGTTTCACCTACAGGCACTTGAGGGTCGAAAGGCTCAAGGATCAAGATCTACAGAGTTTAAGGGGTTTAGGGTTTAGGGGTTTCGGGTTTAGGGCTTTAGGGCTTTAGGGCTTTAGGGGTTTAGGGTTTAGGGCTGAGGCTTTAGGGTTTAGGGAAGTACTTAAGAGAAGTGAGTGAAGAAAGAACCATCACAGCTGCCATCAAATTTGCAGAGCGGAACCACAACGTTGACATTGCAATCACTACGTGTTGCGATTATCACGGCTGCAACAGACTGTCGCAAAGCTTGCAGTCCTAGTTTATGCGAGTGGACCCTAAACCCTAAACCCTGAACCCTGAACCCTAAACCCTACACCCCCCTTAAACTCTAAACCTAACCTTTTAAACTTTTAAATCCTAAGCCTAAGCCATTAAACTCGAAAGAGTTTAGGGCTGCGGGTTTAGAGTAACCCAAAACGAGCACCTCTTTCCGTAGCACCGTTGCAGAGCCGCTGCACTGCCCAGCGGGCAAAGCCAATGGCCGTGGCGCCTGGCCTTCCGCATGAAGTTGCGTGAAGATTTAGGAGTCTAGGGTTTAGAGTTTAGGGTTTAGGGGTTAAGGCTTTAGAGGCTTAGTGTCTGGTGCTTAGGGCAAAGAAGGTATCTTGTTTACAGATTCTTCATAACGCTTTATCAATGCTAAAAACAGTTTCGCATGGTTTTGGGGTGTTGGATTGGAAATAGGACTCGGACAGTGCTCTTTGGGGACAAACCTAGATATCCCGACGATCTAGAGTAAGATCTTATATTGTGTGGCCCTAAGCCCTAAACCCTGAGCTCTAAATCCTAAACCCCAAGCCCTAAACCCTAAACCCTCAATCCTAAGCCCCAAACCCTAAGCCTTAAACGATGAACCCGAACCTCGGAACCCTAAACTATGAACCCTAAACCCCAAGGCCTAAACCCTCAACTGTAGCTCCATCTTATGTGACCCAACATACCAGACCACCGAGACAGAGAGCCCCATCCGAACAGTGGAGACGGGTTCCTGAACCCTTTTGGGGGTTTAGGGTTCAGGGTTTAGGGTTCAGGCCTCAGGGTTTAAAGTTTAGGGTTTGGGGCGTGGGGCTTATAGGGTTTAGGGTTGTAAGGGCTATCCGATATCCCGTTAGATTGTGGGGAAGTTTCCTTCATTCCGGGAGTTCGTGAGGAGAACCCATCAAAGTTCCTGAATAGGGTGTAGGGTTTAGGGTTTAGGGTTTAGGGTATAGGGTTTAGGGTTTAGGGTTTAGGGTTTAGGGTTTAGGGTTATGACGCTGCTGGAGGGGCCTGCAGGCACGCCCAGACCTCCTCAAGGCTCAATGCGGTTTAATTTAGGGTTTAGGGTTCAGGGCTGCATCCTTTCCTAGTTCATGGTTGGGGTAGTATTAAAAATTTAAATCTATATTCCTTATTGGGTTTAAGTACCCTTAAAAATGTAAAATGTTACCCAACTATGACAAAGTTTCCCCCAAAGTCTGTTGCACTGGTGCCATCTCGCCTTGGGAGCACCATCAACAGAGCATCAGGCCAATTCGACCTGGACCGGATCTGAGAGAATCCTAGGGTTTAGGATATTTTAGGGTTTTCGGGTTTAGGGTTTTAGGACCCTAAACCC